AAAAAAAAATCACAAAATATTTGCAGAACACAATTGAGACAGCTACTTTGAGTTAATACTTAAGAGAGACAAAATACTATTCTTTTTCAACACCAAGCAGATAAAAATGTAGCATGCTAATATCTGTCCTGCAGTTGCCATATTTGTGATAGAAAACTTTGTTCTTTACTCCATTCATCTGTCCTTTTGTAATTTTTTTTTCCCTCTATAAGACTAGAGCCCCAAGTCTTACCCAGAAATGTCTTCAAGCAACTGTTGGGTCACATGAGCGGGCCTGATCCCCAGAATTACAAAATGTGTTTGTTAGAGCTGAGTATAGAGAAAAAAATAAAGCTGTCATTGAGAAAGACCTTTCGTTTTACCTGTGAGAGGGAGAGATGTATACATTTCATATATGTCTTTGCAATATTCAGACCTACTATCACGACTTGCTATCTGGGTTTGGTTTGTTGTATGGTCTTGTTTGAAATCAGAATGAGAATTTTCATTTTCTTCATGCCATCAACCCAAAGCTATCACAATCCTGGCAGAAAGCCTGTTATTAGTTCCATGTGATAAGGTAGAGAGTACAGGGCATGAAACCAAGGGTCACCCAGCAAGTTACACAGCAAAAAAAAAAAAAAAAAAAATTAAGATGTTGGCTAGATAACAGATTCTAACATGTGTGGCCGTGAAAATTCAAGCATTGATAATAAAATAGCATCAGTTATTCTCCAGAAAGAGTTTATTTATTTATTTTAAGAGAAATTTTTGCTATAGGGCATGTGTACTTGCAGGAGAGACAGAGAGACAGAGAGAAATCATCCCACCGGTGATGGCCACACTGCAATCTCTTCTCCTCCATTCTCCTCTGGGGATTTTGGGCATGCACACAAATGTGCCCAGTGTGAGTTTGAAGCCGCAGGGTCTGGGACTCAAACAGCGGTCAGCCATGTGGGAGTCCATGACATAACTATTACGCCACCTGCTGGTCCCCCAGAAAAAGTTTATTAATACTTTTTATTCTTTATAGTTAAATAAAAAAGAATGATCAAGGTTCATAGGGAAAAGTGGAAATGCAAATTCATTCTCATTATCTGCGTCTTGTCCCTAAGTTACTGAGCACATACATAAGATAAAATAACTCAGGGCCAGCAGGTGGCATGGTAGTTAAAGTGCTGGATTCCCACATAGCCAACCACAGTTCAAGTCCCAGAACTGGTGGTTTAAAAATTACAGTGAGTTCTGCACCACCTGTGTGTTGGGTGGTGGTGAGGAATTGTTAGGGAAGGGGCCCAGGCCACAGGGATGATGACAATTCTCCCCCACAGGTCCGAACTCATGACATGGGTGGCTATGCCACATGCCACGACTTCACTGAGGCTGTTATTGCTGCCTTGCCCCACCCATAGGTCATGCCCACATCTATGTAAGGTGTTCAATAAAAATCATGTGTGTAATAAAAAAAATTACACTTGGCACATGTGTATGAATACCCAAAAATCCTGAGAGGAGAATGAAAGAAAAGGGATTACAGCATGGCCATTCCTCTTGGGGTTTGATTTCTGACTTTCCTTCTCTGTCTCTTTCTAAAGAGCATGCACACCTATGGCAAGAGAGAGAGAGAGAGATTGAACTATTCATTCAAGTAATACTCAGAAGCTATGGGATATTTTTCCAGCCATGATGTAGAAGTCATTAAACCTTCAATATCTCACAAAGTTTCTAGAATTCCTAGAGTTGTGGAAGTGGTGAATAGAATTTACTGCAGCCCTGTGCTTCCCTTCTCGTTGTGGAAGTGGTTCATAGAATTTACTGCAGCCCTGTGCTTCCCTTCTAAGACTGCCACTCGCTCTACTTTGTACCAATTCAACCCACCAGTTTTATGGAGTTCTATTGGAACGTAAGCTGTGGATGAGAACTTTGACTACTGCTCTGTCCTCGGCATGCAGTACAAAATCTAACCCATGGATGTTCCAAATAAGCCTGAGTTAATTAGCTAGCATGAGCTACCTGAGGTGGAGGAAGGAAAAAGCTCCTTCTCCATGGAATTGTGTCGTTGTGACCACCAGAGACACCTGCTGAGACACCTGCTCTTGTAAGTCTGCCAAGCATCCAAAATTTCTGTGATCATAAGGACCTATCTGGGGTTTTCAGGACACTGTTCATAGGTAAACTGTGTCATCCTGCAAACGGAGTTTACATGGGCCTGAGAAGGGACATCTTCCCAGAACAAGACATTCCGAAGGGGCCCAAAATGTTAATGATTGGAAAGATTGTGCTGAATTTTAAGCCTCTCCATTCTTAGCCAGCTTTCCCTCCCCATGACCTCTGGCTATCCCCCTCCCATCCCTAGCATTTACTGAGCTTATTTGTGTTCCAGGGAAATTCTGAGACTAAGTCAAGGCTTGAAGAGGTTGCGGAGAGGCCCCATCTTCACCCTGTCCCCATTCCCAGGCCCTTAGACTGACTTGCGTGTGAATCAGTGCTTTAGTGCTGCCTGCCAGGGACCACCTTGGTTAGAATGATTTTATTTTCCCTAACTTACGTACAGAGAATGATTTGAAGTCATTTTGTTCTGAACTAAAGAGTAAATCAGGAAGGAAGGCGGATTCTCTCCTCTGGATATTTTCTGCCTTTTTTTCTTTAGCTTATCACCACGATTGAGTATCCATGCTATCTTGACTAAAGGCTATACAGTGAGACAGATGAGACTAAAAGAGCAAATAGATTGAAAACTCTTCTCCCCCATTCCAGCAAATAAACCATTTTTGTAATTTCTGAGGGAAAAAAACAAAACACCCCTTTAAAGTTTTATTGTTGTTGTTACAAACAGAAAATATAAACCATGACTATATCCACCATCTTGTGCTTTGAAATATGAAAGTCAAGGGAAAACCAATTTGGGAAGAGACACAAAGCACTTTGGAGGAGAGATGAACAGCGAAGTGGAAAGATAAATGCTGCGTAGACAAATTGAAATCTAAAGTGAAAGTTTAGACAACAGTAATCAAAATGAATGATAACACAGAAGGCCTACAGAATGGGAACATTCAAGGCAGCCATCAGTCTGGTTAAACCAGATAAGATGTCTGTCTTGCATTTAAAGATGTTCTCTATACCAAAAACACTGTGGTACTCAGAGAAAAAGAACATGAAATTATCAGAATTTATCACTATTTTCATATGTAGTTAAATGAATTATCATTATAATGAATTGTCATTATACTTCTAAGTGAGAAACCATAGGGTAGGCTTCAAGATTCTTAAGCCTGAAATATTTTTTTAATAATTTAAAAGCCCAAGACTGGGGTTAGCCGGTGCCATGGTGGTTAAGGTGCTGGCCATCCATGGTTCGAGTCCCCAACCCAA